GCGCGGTATGGCTACCCCCACCCGGGGCGCGTGCCGCGGTACGACCCCTGCATCGACAACAAGGTTGAGGTCTACATGAACAAGCCCGAGGTGATCTCAGTGATCTGACAGATCTGAGGGCAATGATCTGGCAGCACGCCAGTGTGCGGCTAGTGATAGCAAAGTCACCACCGTCGGGGCCCGCATCCCCACACTCGCAATCTCCTTCGATAGCCCACCCTTCCCAACCAAACCTCTCCGCCTGTCCCCCCAAACACGACCCGGATCCCTCCTTCTTCTTCCCGCTCCCCTCAAAAACATCAGCCTCCGCTCATCTTTCAAAGTACCCTGCCGCAATACCATGTTGACACCCCATCCCACCCTCTCCCATGATCTCCCCTCCCATCACTGCACACACACACGCACACCCCCAGGTGCAGTCCGCGCTCCACGCCAACCAGAGTGGCGCCCTGCCCGGGCCTTGGCAGGACTGCAGCCAGGCCATAGCCTACTCACGGGATGACCTCCTGGGGTCCATGATCCCGGTGTACAAGGAGCTGCTGCGCGACGCCAGTGAGCACGCAACACACGCACACATGCGTGTACATACTCCGGCACACACACAAACACACACACACACACACACACGCACGCGCGCATGCACACACACACACACATACACACACGGCACACACACATACACACACATGCACGCGCGCGCCTGTCCACCCACATGCCTCCATGCTTGATACCTTCTCGCGTGTAGCCGTTCAAATCACGGCAGCTTGCCAGGACAATGCACCGTCCTTGGGCGAACCATGTGATTGCCTGGCGATGCGATTTACAAAGCAGGACGGCTGCTGAATCTGCTGACAACTTGATACAAAAGAGCTGCAATTGTGGGTCGGAAATCCAGATCGCTTGAAACCTACCAAACCAATTTACACCGCAGATCTAGTGATCTGGGTGTTTTCGGGCGACGTTGACGGCATCGTCCCTGTCCTGGGCAGCCGCCGCTGGATCAAGTCCCTCGGACTTCCGGTGGACACCCCCTGGCGCGCCTGGCAGAGCCAGACCGGCCAGGTGTGCATGAGACCGCTCCCCCTCCCCCAAAACACACACCACCTGCCCCCGGCCTTGGCCCCTCGGACGGTCACCCTCGCGGAGTCCGCATCCAGCAGACAGCTGCAATCGATGGCTGCCGCCTCAGTTGCACTATTCCTCCCACCAAGCACCTTCCTGGTTGCGTTTTGGGGAGGCTGGGGCGTGCACCATGGACCATACGCGCTGAACCCACCCCTGTGCACCCAACAACACCCCCACGCACCCACACCCACTTTCAAAGCACCCAACCCGCACCCTATGCAGATCGGCGGGTGGCGCGTCGATTACGAGGGCCTCTCCTTTGTCACAGTCCGCAACGCCGGCCACATGGTGCGCGGCCGAGGGCAGGGCGGCCCTGGCGGCGCGCGCGCCGGCGATCTCCCCACCACCTTGCCTCACCCACCCCCTGCAAGCCAGCGCTCGCTGCTGTTGCAGCCGAGCTTCGAAATCAGTCTTCCCCTGAACCCCGAACCCTGCAACCCATGGCGCCAGCATGTGCAAGTTGTTGTTGGTGCAACAGCAGCTGCAGGCGCACCCAGTTGCCAAACTTTTGAAGCAACCTTCAACCGTCTGGGAGCCAGACTGGCCCGCGACCAATCAGTCACACCTCACCTGCAATCCAAGGCCAGGCCCCATTTGCTACATCCTCAGCCACACGTGAACACACCCGGGAGCACTTGAACGCATCGGAACACACTCGAACGCTCACCAGGTCCCATTGCCAGCAGCACCCGTGCCCTCAGCAACACTTCCCTCCAATTCATCAGGTGCCCTACGTCCAGCCGGAGCGCGGGTACCACCTGGTCGCGGACTTCCTGGACGCCGCCTCGCAGCCGCCGCCCAGCCGCCGCCGCAGCAGCTGAAGGTGGTGACGTCACCATGATGTCAGCGAACCGCGGCCGCCCCGCGCCTCCCGCCCGCGGCAGTGGCGAACGGCAGCGATGTCGCGGCAGCGTGGGGCGTCCCCACCCTGCGTGAGCCACAAGTTGCGGCAGACAACACCACGACTGACCTGCGCGCGGCCGCGGGTTTGCCTTCCTGAGGCACCATTCAGGGCGACAGGGGACCGGGTCAGACCCCTAGCACAAAGAGCCTGTCACTGCCTGCGATTGCCCGAAGCAAGCAAGGCCAACCTAGCATGAGTTACCCGGGAGTGTGGGCTGATGTGGCGGAGTCGTGCGGGGTCTTGCCCACCGGGTACGCAGAGGACCCTTGCGCCTGTAACACAACTGGAGCTGGAAGCAGCTTACCTTTTCCTGTCGTCTGATGGCCTCCTCCACTTATATCCATCCTGTTGAGGTTTTGTATAATAGAATTATCCACTCCTGCAGGGTGGCGGGAGTGCAGGCGCTGCGTGAGGGCACACCCGGGGGCTGGCAGCACCAGCAGCTGTTGTCGGCGCACACCGGCGCGTCGGCTGCGCTGTTTGAACTACGCCCGGCCCCGCCACAAACACGTCTGCCTGATCATCAGGGGGGATACACATCAGGCCTACATGCGTGGGAGTTACAAGGGGCAAAGGCCCAAGCAGTATGCTTCGTTGCCTGTGTGGACAGCTGGCGGCAGGGGCGGCGGCAGGCTGGTCAACAGGGGGCGCCTTGACGCGCAGCGGCCCTGCGGGGCAGCGTTTCAGTGTCACAGGCTGCGCAACGCAGCGGCGAGCACGCCAGGCAGCCGGGCAGGCGGGCCTGGGGCTCCGATTATTGCAGTGTGCGAAAGTCGGGTCTGCATCAATCGGAAACGTGAGAGAGGCTTGTCAGAAGGACACCAGCTTGCTCGGCTTTGCACCAACGGCGCGGCGGGTGCGGTGCAGGGGACCAGTACAAAATGAGCGTCAAGCACAGCCGGGCAGGCAGACACGATGGTGCCGCCGGCAAACGGCTGTTGCCTTTGGGAGCAATGCTTGGCTTGGGCATGCGGGCTCGGCCGCTGGTGGGGCCGGCGGTTGGCTGCTCAGGGTGGCACGGCGCGGCCGCCCTGGCATTGCATGAGATGCAGCAAGGTGAGATGCTAAGTGGCTAAGCGAAATTGTACACAAAAGATGAAACCAGAGGCTGGCAAGCCATGCGGGGTAGGCCCCGGCTGTATCATGTGGGATCCCTGGACGAGCGAGTTGCTGGGAGGCTGCGCCAGCGGCCGAGCGCCGCCGCTCGTGAAGATGCGCACGGCAGGCGTCCGGCCAGACAGATGATTGGGGCGAAACGCCAAACAGGCCGCCACGGGGCGATGTACAGACGTGCTATCGTGCCCCGCGCACGCGGACGTCCACCCACACACCGCTTGGCGGAAAGCAAGCGGCGGGGCATGGGCGACGGCGCGCACGGCGTGCGTGTCGGGTCGATGGGCGTCGCGCCCGCAACAGCGTGCAGGCGCATGGGGCCCCGGATTAAATTGGGGCTTGCGTTCAGATATCACATGGGGCGGGGTACGGGTACAGAAGGCTCATACCAGCAAACAGACCGGCGCCTGGGCCGCGCATGGGCGTCGGGACGGAGGGGAGCAGTCGAGCCGCGGCGCCGCTTAAGCCGCGGCCCCGTTAACAGCCCGGCAGTCGCGGGACGCCGCGGCAGCCGGGCAGGCACGCGCCCGGCCGGGCGGCCGGCGCGGAGCGCAGCGGCGGCGGCGTGGCGGGCAAGGTATTGTAAAACGGGACTGTGGTGTACATGCCACGCCGCTTTGATGCGGTGTCAAGCAGCCTGAGCAGTCTGACTATACGGCGCACCCAGGTGAGTTGTGCGGTTGGTTCTGAGCCCGGCAAGGCAGTCGCCGCGAGAGGAACGCAAGGGGGTCGCAGGGCGGGCGCGTGTGCGGGCGACTCGCCGAGACCAGCAGACGATGAAACCCGCGGCAGAGCGTGAAAAGCCGTCCTGCTCAGGCAGTGCGGCCTTTGCTGGGCGCGCGCCACAAGCAGCGACCCAGATCTCAAGGATGCATGACTCAACGAGGAAAGGCGGCCCCTGTTGCTGGGGGCAGGCGCCCCATCAACGGAGCATGCCCGCGCGCGTGAACCCCGTGGGGGCAGGGGCGCGACGCATCAACTGGATCCAGAAAAGGGGACTTTATATGTGTCACGCGATCGCCCGACAAGGACACCAAAAGCAGGCACAAGCGGGCCGCTGCAGTTGCAGGGCCGCCTCGTCGCAGCAGGCTGGGGCTTGGTCCGGCCCAACGGGCTGCGGCAGTGGACAGCATATGCTCCGCCCTTTCGAGAGTAACGGAGCACGGAAAAGCCCCCGCCCGCCACGCGCGCACACGCGCATGCCGGCTGCCCGTTGCGTGTTTCCGGCAGCCGGACAACGACAAAGACCCGCATGCTCGACAGCGTGAGGCTTGCCTGGGCGCCGCGGCGCCCTCAGCGCGCCGTCTGACAGTGCTTGATGAGCAAGAAACAGGCGGATTCGGAGGCACGGCCGACGCACCGCAGATGCAGCACAGTGGCTGGCGCGCGCCTGCGCCCAGGAAATCCGACCCGCCGGCGCCGGCCCCGGGCGCACCCTACTGCCCCGCGGCGCGGCAGCGCGGTGGCGGCTTGCGGGGGGGCGTGGTTGGGCGCCCCGCTGATGCATCGCTTTGCCTCCCTGGAAGAGCAACGCCCTGGGCACCTGCCCAGCCAAGGACCCCATCCGCAACTGACTCCGCGTCCCGTGAAGGCATCCGGAAGACGAACAGACAACCAACCCGGTTGTCTGCCTTTTTCACTCTGGCCCCTTGGTGGCCCCAGGGGGCGAGAACTTCACGACGAGCTTCGTCGTGCGCCGGAGGCTCTCGGCGGCGCCGCGGGTGACGCGCGTGTTGCTGAGCGCCACCACCGCGAGGGCCTGCGGCAGTGATAGGATTGGTGCGAGTTTTGGTGGTAAGTCTTGTGGGACAATCAGGGAAATGCTTGGGAAAAGAGATACACGCCAAGAGGGCGGGGACTGAGCCCTCGACTCAAGCACCTCGCAGACGGTGGTGTGCGATGGTTTTTGCTCCCTGTAAAGAGGACGGGGGCACGACGCTGGAGCCTGGCACGCTGAATCAGCGTCGCCCGTGGATGCACCCCGCGAGGGGGCGCGGAGACCGCGGCGGCGCGGGCAGCATAAAGGCAATTTCTGACCCGGCCCCACAGGCAGCCGCGGCAGCGGGCCACACACCGGCATGCCGGCGAGCAGCGGGAGGCAGCCGTCCCCGACAGCGGTGCCCGTGAGGTTCAGAGCCTCGAGCGTCGCCGCGCACGCGCCGCCGGCCAGCATGCGCACCGACACATCCGACAGCCTGCGGGGGCCGGGGGCGGGGCCGGGGGCGGGGGCGCGTCGGGTCCAGAGCGGCTGCGCGCCGGCCGCAAGCAGTGCGTCGCCCGCCAGCCGGGGGACGCCGTGTCGGTGTTTAATCGTCGGCCGCAGGGCCGGGCTCGTGCGGTAAACATGAGTTCGGCAGGCTTGCCGCTTTCAGAGGGACGGCCGACAGGCCGACAGCACAGGGCAGCCCCCGCCAGCAGGGCAGCGACGCCTGGTATCCGCCAGACTTCGCTGACAAATAGCAAACGCCAATCGCAGGGAAGAATATCCAGCAGTTTTGACAATTAGCACATCGTAACGGCAGGGGGTATAGCAGCATCGCACCTGGGGTTTTGTGCCAGACTCAGGTGCTGCAGCTTTGGCAGTTTGGCCACCTCCAATACCGACCGGTCTGGCGCCAAAGCAGATATAGATTTAATTTTGGGGGGGGGAATCACTCGGGTTAGCGGCCGAGCAGCAGTGTCTGGCCCAGTAGCGCAGCCGGGTGCGCCGCTTGCGGGGCTCAAGGGGTGGCCGCACGATGTGCAGGGTGCGAATGGGCACCCTTGCTTGTAGCTGTGTGCGAACACTGTTGGAGCAGTACCAGTAGACCAGTAAGGCCTGCCATGAGATCGTGGAAGGCCCGTGCTTCACCCGCATTGTCGGCCCCCCCCTTTGTGGTGCAAGCCGCACGAGCAGCCCTCACCCGTCGCCCAGCCGCCGCACAGGAAGAGGTGTGTCAGCTCGCGGTACGCCGGCAGCGCCAGGGCGCCCCGCAGAGTCACCTGGGGCCCGGGGCCATGAGGTGGGGATGCCAAAAGTATGTGGGGTTCCCGAGAATCTCAGCATTGAACAACATGATGATGCGTTTTAACAATGTCCAAGCCATGTGCTTTGCAACATTGAAGATAGACAAAAGTTCAAGGTGCTCCAAGCCCGGATGAGGCCAGATCAGATCAGGTCGTGCCAGATCAGATCACCTTACAGCCGTACAGGTCGAGCTCCTTGAGGTGCGGCGCGAGGGGCAGGGCCAGGTGCAGCGCCTCGTCGCTGACGTGGCGCGCGTCCAGATTGAGCGCCGTCAGGCGCGTCTGCGGCGGCGGCGGTTTTTTGGGGCGGTGCAGGTCTGTTAGAGGGGTTGAGACGAGAGCCTCTGATGGGCTGCCGGAGACCGCAAGGGTGCGTGCGCAGCTGAGTCAGCACGTGTGGAGAGGACATGCCTCTGCTTTCGTAAGTTTGCTCGAATGCCGTTCGCTCATCAGCAGCACGTACGAGCGAGCGGCAGTCGAGCAGGCACATGCAGTGCGGTTCAGGCGCGCCGAGCAGGGCCTGGCGAGGGCTGCCCTACGATTCCAGCGGTGGGTCGCGCGCACCAGTCCCGTCAGCGCCGCCACCGCGCCGTCCCCGACATCTGTGTCGCACAGCCCCAGCCGCGAGAGGCGCCGCAGCTTCGAAATATGGAAGGCGCCCGCGTTGCCGACCTGGGGGGGCGGCGGGTGCGGCCGTGAGGAGCAGAACATGCAGTGACCAGGAGGGGGTGCAAGCCGCACGCAGGGGCGTGTTGGGGGGACTGCTCATGTTGAGGGGCCGTCGGCGTCGCACAGAAAGGCGGGCGGGGGCGGGGGTCCTTCGCGGGGGTGGCCTGGAGACCCGTTTTTGAGGCGGAAACCACAGCGCAGGCGCTGTTGAGCAAGGGCAGGAGCTTTCGGGTGTGGGCGCTCCCGATCAAGAGCCCTGCCAAGTGGGATCGCTCTCAAGTGAGAGCAGTCCGTTGCAAAGAGTGCCCTCAGGCGCTCTCAATTGGGGCCCTCTTGAGTCAGGGGCTTTGGTCGGGAAGTCCAAGGGACAGTGATTGAAGATCTCGAGATTTGCAGAGACCCAAGCGCACCTCTGTGTCTGACAGGTCAAGATGCTCCAAGTTGGCTAGTGATGAGAACACCTGTGTGTGTAGATGAGCGCATGCTATTGCTTGGACTGTCACGTGCGCGGGCTGTCACGTGCGTGTGCAAGCGTGCGTTGGTTGCCTTGAGGGTGGACACACGCGCGGGGCAGGCCTGCCCCCGACAGCCGAGCCTGTTTGAGGGAGCCTGCACGCCCCGTTTCGTTGGCGGTGGGGGGCCCGCTGCAAAACTAGGGCACTCGGAACCGCCGCGGCGCATCATGATGCGACCAAAGCAGCCCCTTTCCCCGCGCGTGAGCGCCGCCAGGCTGCGCCCACCTGGCAGCCGCTGTCTGTCACGGGGCACATGTCCAGCAGCAGCTCGGTCAAACCGGTCAAAGGCGCCAGCTGCAGCAGGCCACGGCTGCCCACGCGCGTGCACGACAGGTCCAGGCTGCGCAGAGAGCCCGCCAGGATGGACGCCAGCTCCTCAAAGCCGCGCCCGCCGTCCGGCGCGCCGCAGTCGCGCAGCTTCAGGCTCGCGAGCTTGCGGCAGCCCAGGGGCGGCGCGGGCGGGCTGGCGGCCGAGGGGCCCGCGGCGGAGGGGTGCGCGGCAGCGGCGGTGGCGGGCCAGGGGGCCGTCGCGCGGAGGATGGCAGTGGCGACGCCGCGGATAGTCACCCGGGGGTTTCCTATGGGTGACGACAAGGGGGTGACGGTGTTAATGACATACCGATGGTGCGACTATGTAACCACGTTGGTGCAAGCCCATAAGAGAAGAGGCCGTACACACGGTACTTCAGCGGGTGAGGTTCAGCGGGTGGGAGCCAGGCGGCGCGGGGCAGGTGACGATGTTTTGGGATTGGGGGCGGCAGTGACGACGCGAGGTGTGGTTCTTGAGAGGCGCCACGAGCATGCATGGGGGGGAGATCAAAGCTTGTGGACGCACCCGACAGGTCGAGCGCAGTGAGTCCAGTGAGCGCCGCCAGCGGCGCGAGCGCGTCGTCTCCGATGCGCGTTGCGCACAGGTTGAGCGAAACCAGACTCTGCAGCCGCGCCAGCGGCGCCAGCGGGCTGGCCGGCCCAGGCAGCGCCGGCAGCGGCGGGCCCGCGGCGGTTGCGGGGCGCGGCCGCGCGTGTGGCGC